TTTTTGTTTGATTGTGAAATGGTTCATATTTTAGTGACTCAAATAGCTACTTAAAGACGCATTTAATGTTTGGCTTTATTTTTTGTTCCTTTCAGGAGCCCAGAGCCAATTATAATTATATTTATTAATGCATATTTAGATGAAGCTAATGGACATGATTTAAAGAAATTAAGGAAACACTCTAAATAATAATGGGAATTTCTTAATGATTAAGATACATCATAGATGCTATTAGAAATAGGGAAGTTGAAGCTGGCAAAACAAATAAGTGCCAGCTTCCTAGGCTAACTCCTTACTCTGCTATATAATTTGGAAGTTAACCTGGCACATTTTGCAGTTGTTTAAAATACATTTATTGAATGTTTTACAATTATGCGTTTTCCCTGTTTGCTTGGGTAGGTGACCTTTGGTTCAGCTTCTGTGTATGTACGCAATTTAATTGAAGCTTTTAGAGAGTTCTAAGGAAATGGAATTAGTTTTCAAGATGTCTCTCGGAGAAATCTAGCCAGGAGGCGTGAAGGTTCTGGGGTTAAATAGCTGCCTATGTAATGGTAGGACTATATCATTTATTTTCTCTACTCCATTTTCTATTCTTTTCTTTCTTGCCATAGATTATATTTTTCTCTTGTTAGTAAATACATATTGTGAGATAACAAGAAACCAGGGCTAACAAATTGCTTAAACAGGTTGTAACATGATCTAAAACTGATCAGTTTCACACAATATGTGTTAAAGCAAAGAGATTTATTTTATATATTTTGAAAAATACAAGCATGAGAGATGTTATAATCAAATGAAACTGCTTTCCAAAAATCACAGCAAAATATAAACTTAGAAATTATTTCCAGAGACAATGCTACTTTTTAAATATTCTTTTTAGGTGGGAAAATCAATTTTATTTAATATGGATTGAAAAATTAGTGCAAAAATTATTCCTATCCAAGTCTAATAAATAATATAATAAAGGTTGTGTTTTTATTGATAATATATTTGTATGGTTAGTAAAAATATAATGTAACTAAGAACAAAGAGAATAATTTTTGTATGTTCTAAAAAAATGAGATGGTTATTTCTGAAAGAGGAATTCCCGGTGTAACCAAATACAAATAGCATTATTAAAATAAAGTATAGACTTCAAAGGGCAAAGCTGTTAGAACATTCATTGTCTTTAAATGTTTGTAAATAAATCAGACTCATATCTATAGTCTTTATTTATTTATTTATACAAGCACTGGGTACAGTCAGAAGCGAGAGAGGGTGAGAGAATTCACCAGAGCCAGAGCGGGGAGCAGAAAAAGCAGACTGACGAAGTACACTTTTGAGAGGAGCAATGAATGCGGCAGGAGAGGTCTGAGCGCCCTGTGGGACCCTCGCCGGCAGGCCGGGGATCGAACTGGCGCTGCAGGGGTTGCGGGCAGCTTCAAAGCCCAGCACTCAACCGCTGCGCCACTGGGGATGCCCTCTATCATTACATTTTGTACACATATGCTGTGGATGAAAGATATTACCTATCCATTTCTAGTTTTCGGAAAGAGATGAAAAAAGAGAATAAAGAAAGGTGTGTTATATCCTGTTTATGGTCAATGAAACTCATCTGAAAAACTTAAAACTTGGAAGAAACAATCTTCCAGGTGAGACTAATAGATTACCCAACAATTACACCAGATGCCCTGAGTTACAGAGTTATCACATAACAAAGAGTTCTCTTTCATTACTCATATAGTTACCATCTCTTTTTTGTTAGAGACTAGAAACATGAAGAAATTGAGTCAAGTTAGAGGCTAAGAGAAAAAATAATTGGCTCAAAGTTTATTCATGTTTACATACCATTCACAGCCCCAAGATGCTTGTTGTTCACATGCAGTCTCTATGCCCTTCTCACATTTTTATTCTTAGATAAAACCCAACCTTCCTTTCTTCCTCCCTCCCTCCTCTTCTTATTCCTTTCTCTCCTGTCCCCATCTCTCCCTAGTCTGTCCACATATTATCCTCATTTCCCCCCTTTCTTATCTTCTTTGGAGAACATTCTACTCTATGGACTTGGTTCGTTAGAGTTTATCTGCAATTATAAAACTTGAGTTCTTTTGTGCTTTATGGCAGATGAGACATGAGTATGTGATTTTTATATCAGCAATCAGGACTTGATAATGGGAGGAGGGAATGCAAAGCATTTAATTTGGTCAAGGGTAGTGTAGGGTAAAGAAAATATCAGGCTTTTCTGTCCTTATCAGGATAATGATGGATCTTGTCCTGTGCATGCCTGATGGCGGACACCTGGAATGGGCATAGGTAGATGGGATTCACCTGGGCTAAGACTGTGCTTTTAAAGGCGGCATAACGGGGACAGCAGCAGCAGCAGCAGTGCCGAGAAGCAGCAGAACGAATGCCAGAGAAGCCCAGATAGAGTAAAGACTTGCTGGGGGCTGGAAGGCCTGCCAGCCGTATGCCTGGTGAACCCCAATAAAAGACCTGCAAAAACCCACTAAGGACTCTGACTCCTCCTTTACCCAGTCTGCATTGGATCAGAAAACCTGCACTGTGCCCAGTCCTGACTTTACAAGTAGGAAAGCCACATGTTCCCAGCTGCTATGGCCTCAGCAGCAGAATGCAATGTCTTATGTGGAAACCCACAACTTACAGCCCCCCACCCCTGGGGCAAATCTTTGGCTTTTCTCTTTACCTCCTTATCTCTTCTTCTTGCAGCCTTGTCTGGCCCACCACAGCCTAGCCAAGAGACGACACCCTTAGAGCCTCAGCCCACGGGGCTCACTTGTGCACACTTACGCACACAATGCCATACTCCAATAGCACATGTGCAAGACTACAGGTGATGGTCATAGATGCTAATAGCAGGTGTAGGGTAATGTCAGGCTTTTCTGCCCTTCCACCATCAGGATAGATGATGGATCCTTGTCCTGAATGCATGCCTGATGGCGGGCACCTGGAATGGTGTGGGCATAGGTAGATGGATTAGCTGAGCTAAGACTGTGCTTTAAGGGTGGCGTAGCCAGCAGCAGTAGAACCTGAAGCAGAGAACGCCAGAGAGCCCAGATAAGACTTGCTGGGGCTGGGAGCCTGCCAGCCTCCCAGCCCCCAGCCAGCACCCTGCCTGCCATATGCCTGGTGAACCCAAATAAAAAACCTGCAAAACTACTGAGGACTCTGACTCCTCCTTTACCGATCTGCATGGGATCAGAAAACCTGCACTGTATCCAGTCCTGCCCTAAGCCTGATAACTTCCATTTACCATACACCTATCCTTCAAACATTGTAAGAATCAATTAATGTTTGGAGAGTGAGTTTGTAAATCAAAAAAAAAAAAAAATTAGCACAGATAATCCAGACAGAAAGACAACTACTTTATATATTTGAATAAAGTACTTTGCCATAGGGAAGTATTATAAATGTGTTGGAAGGATTTGGGGAGAAAAAGGAGGAATGTTGCTTTACTTAGACTTCAATAAACACAAGAAACCCCTACTGTATCTGTTGCTGGAAGAATAAAAGCAAGGTGGATGTGTATTTGTGAAATCAGTAATTTTAAAAAGTTAATTTTCTCTATATACCTAAAGGTCTGGTGTGGGGCTGACTACAAAAAGATAGTATCTGATTCATTCCATTAAATTCTAGAAACATTTTAATGCTTATCTATCAAAATTATATTTTGATTAGTAAGTTGTTTTTATTAAAATTTTATTAAACTGCTGTTAGTTACTATAGGGTAAATAATTGTCAGGCTTTTCTGCCCTCCAGCCATTAGGATTGATGATGGATCCCTGCAGTCCTGAATGCATGCCTGATGGCAGGCACCTGGAGTAGGGTGTGACATTTGTAGGTTGGATTCACCTGGGCTTATAAGGGCGGCATCATGGGGATGCCAGGAGAGAAGCGAGAGCAGCAGAACAAGAGAACAAACAGAGAAAAGAGAACGAGACCATGAGAGAACACTGGAGAGCCAAGAAAGAGGAAAGACTTACTGGGGGCTAGGAGGCTGCCTACCATGTGCCTGGTAAACTCAATAAAAGCCTGAAAAAGCCACAGAGGGCTCCAGGACTCCTCCTTCACCCGTCTGCATAGCATCAGAGAGATCCTGCGTGGTCCCTTCCTTTGGCTAGAGTTGCAAATAAATTTTAGATTGAATTCTATTGAGGATGACTACCATACTCGGCCTCATTTCAATGACAAAGCTGATAAGATTGTTTAAAACATTCCTTGACATTTTATCAATTCCATATACTGGTCTATCATTTGGTCAAGTTTCATAGTCTTGGTGAAGGCTGCAATTATTCTCCATATCCAGTAACATAATACTATAAAGATTCAGAGTGGGAAAGAGATCTTTGAAGTGATGATTTCATTTATTATAGCATGGTACAGGGCCAGGTGATTCCTTATACTCTTGATTTTAATTTACATCTGCAAGTCCTGACATAACTACTAAAGGGACTAAATGAATTTTCCATATCACAGTAGATAGGAAGACATGAAGCAACAAGCTATGAAATTCTGTCCTGAATGGAATGTGGTTCTAGGAATATAGCAATAGACTGAAGTCCAGACAAGGTGCAAGTAAAGGAGGTTGACCAGAGATGGGCTGAACTGGAGAGAGCTGAACTGCCAGGTGTTAAAGTAGTTGATTAAGATAAAAGTAAAAATGAAAATAACCTTCAACCACTTATTGTAAGAGTGTAAACAAGGGACAAAAGAGGAGAGAGTGCTGACTCTGCACTTTTCACCCCCCATAGAATGGTGGCCAGGTGCGGGTCTGTGCATCAGGGCCCACGTGGCCATCAACTCACCCAGAACAAAAGGCGCCTCAGTGTACAGTCCCGCAGTGAGGGGAAAGAGAAGGCAAACAGTGAGAAAGCTGAGTGACTGAAACAGAATCAGAGTGGAGAAAGCTGTTCAAGATTCCTCCTTCCCCTATAATGAGGTCTTAAGGAGAGGCACCTGGGGGAGGCCTTTGGAAAAAGGCAGCTAGTCTCAGATCGCCAAGGTAGGGAAGAACATGGCTGCTGGTCACGGCTTCTGGACTACAGCTCTGGAGACTGGGATGAAGTGGCGAGTACGAGTCCTTAGTCCCACTCAGTGGCAGCTTTCCCTATGAGGGTGGCCAGTGCGAGCTTTTGTTGTTGCCTGTGGTGGAGCCTGAAAAGTCCCACACAGCATCTCGGCTGGGAGACAGACTTCTCAGAGGTAAGAGGGTGCGGCGTTCCTCACAAAGGTGGGGAGACGTGCTGACATCGGGGATAGATATTGTTTTTAAAAGAAGCTGGAGCATGAATAGGCATCAGGAAAATGTGCAGACAGCAGTACAAAACCTCAGACATTTAAGAAGCGGAAGTAGGGGAGAAGGGGGTACGATCAAAACAAGGGCGGTGGGAATTGTATGGGGACTATAACCAAGATAATATTTTGAAGCATTTGTGTATGTGTTTTTCTGCTTTCATGTATTTGGAAGATGATGAGGAAATTGGGAAAAAGTTGTAGTGGCTGTTTTTTCTGTCTCAAAGGTTAAACCTTCGCCTTCCGATTTTGGGATTTAATTGTATAGTGATGGATAAACCTAGAGAATGTGGAATATCTCAGTCTTAGGATAGAGAGAGAGAAAAAGCCCTAAAGGGTGTGGTCACAGGGGACATCTCAGAGAAAATGAAGTTGCCATGACCTGGATTTCCCTGTCTCAAGTGTGGGACAGAAGGCTGTAGCACACAACAGAGCCCACTGATGACAGAGGACCTTTAGCTCAGTTTTCTCCTTGCCACCCCAGTAACCCCAGGCATAACCTTCTATAGGGCTGAGAACTGAGGTCAGTATTTAGCCATTTGAGCAGAATAGATTGGTGTAGGTAATTAAGCTGAGTTGAAGATAATTAAGTTCTAATGTGAGCTGAGATTCACATGTGCTGCTGTGATGCTTCTAGGGATTAATAAGCGTTTAGTGTATGCTTGGTATTGTTTAAAATATATTTTAGATGTGATGCTGATGAAAATCATTCCAGATGTTATTACCTGTTTGTTCATTTGTTTTATTGTTGAGGACACTGAATCTTGCATATATAATGTACTGTGCAAAATTGGTAAATGGCTGGCCTCAGGTTTCAACATATGAACTTACCTTGAATGATTTTGCTCTTGACATTCACAATGATGTGAAGAAACTAACCGAAAATCAGGCTTGGTTTTCAGCAATAAAAAAGACATTTGCTTGATCTTGGATATAAATTAGGGACCAGCTTGCAATAAATGTGTCTTACTGCTGTATCGCATCTCTGTAGAGTACGGGATTTGGATTTGAGATTAAGGTTGTGATGGACCTTGAAGATGGAAGTCAGATAATCTGGTTAAAGAAAGAGATTTGTGTGGAACACTCGGTTTAGAGACCACATCTGTCTTGTAGTCACTTACCATGTGTTCCCACTACAAATTAATCTATAATGAAGGGAAAAACAAAAGAGGTAGTGAATAGATAATTAATGTCAGTGTATTAAATATCCTGGTCTTGGACAATCCACTTTTTGCTAAGTTATCTATAAAATGGAAAAAGAATATAAACCAAGGTTTTTTGCTTTCTTGGATAAGAAAGGATGATATAAAAGAAAGTGTTATTTAAAATACAAAGAGCTATAAAAGCTATTACCCCATAACCATTTCACAGGATAAAACTTGATAGTAATAGAAATAGAAAATTAAAATTTGAATCATATATAACTGAACAATCTCAAAATCTCTGTGCAAACTTCTTTGAGAAAGTCTAATGAGCAGGTCAATGGTTATCCTTTTTTTTTTTAAAGAAATTGTATTAATGGTAAAATTTTTAAATGGTAATAATGTTTTACAGTACTGTATGTGATATAGGGATATAGGGTAACACCTCTTCAGATATATACTGCTACACCAAACCCACCACCAGAGCACTTAGAATCCTTCACCACAGTCTATTGGGCACCAACCCCTTTGCTTCTCACCCTGGCCTTCACCTTCCAGTAGCTTCCATTTGGCAGTTATTTTCTAGGGTCTGTTTTGTTTTTTATATTTTGTTCAATATTCCACATGAGTCATATCATCCCTTATCTATATTTCTGCCTCTGACTTATTTCACTTAACATTATTGCCTCCAGTTTCATCCATGTTGTTGCAAAGGCAAGAGTTGAACATTTTTTTTTTTTTTTTTTAGCTAAGTAGTCCGTGTGTGTGTGTGTGCATCCACTCATGTGTCCTTGGGCACTTAAGTTGTTTCCATAATTTGGTTATTAAAATAGTGTTGTGATACATCATTCATCTAGGCAATAGTTTTTCTATATCCATCCCTTGTATTTAGAGCATGATAAATTAAAAGACATATAGTTTAGTGCTTATATAATGCTGTCCTGTTAGTTTCATGTTCCAGACTTCATTACTAAGGCATATTATAGAACATTGTTTTTAACAATGATTCTGTATCTTTTACAAATTCATATCTGACAATACTGCTTATAATGATAACCTTATATTAGGAAGCACAGTGTGGGTACTGCCCAGACTTTAGTGCAGAGAATATGTTGCTCTCTATACTGTATTGTCTTTATTGCCTTGGCTTCCAGGAAATAGAAAAATTAAATCCATAGTTTACTTTCAATAAGGAGTTTATCCCATGACACCGATTGAGTCTTATATTACCTTGGGGGAGTACGGAGTCTCTTGTATATCCATGTACTTGCTGTTTAACAACAACAAAAAAATGGTTTTAATTCTTTCATGTGCTTGTTTTGCATGTAACTAACCAAAAGTTCAATGCAAGACCTGGCAGATGGCAAACTTCAGATAATAACACTTGTGGGCTCCCCTCCCAGCCTGGTTCTCATAGGTCTCAGGTCCTCTTACTGTCTGGTTTCATTTTTCACACTACTAAGTTTAGGAGAAAAATTGTGGTGACCTATTTGTTATATGATACTGGGAAAAGATTATCTTATAAATTATACCACTTTAAGGCACCAAGGGATTAAAATCTAGGAATATAAATAATACAATATATTACAGCCCCAGTTAATTTGCATAGACACAGGAAATAGAAAATATATCTTAAGGTTGTAAATTATTATTTTGAAAGGAGAGAATTTTAAAAGTACAATGCTACATTTGGGTATATTTCAGGGGTGGATAATGCTATTAATGTGCTTGTTTTGCTTATATTCATGTCACAGAAGCCTTGCTAGGAGGCGCAAAGCCCAAGTCATTGGAGAAGTGTCAGAGTAGCTATAAAGTAGCATATGTGCATACATTTTGCTAGGTGAGGATGGTGGGTCCAGGGTAGAAGATCCTCTAGATGACAATTTCAAAATGGGGTTGCATTTCTTTTTCATTTTGCCTGATCACTGAACTAAAAACAGAAAGATATATACTGCATGTGTGGGAGTCTCTACAGCCAGCTTTAATCCTCCTAAAGGCATATTCCAGGCTCAGTGGTCAGTGCAGTTCTGCACATATTGGAGGACACCACAAGACCAGAGTTTTTTGCATAATATTTAACCATCGCGCCTGTGTATGGACTAAAGATAACAAAGAGTCTCCCTTATTACCAGTAAGCTCAATATGACTATTGCTTTGCCAATGTTCTCTAGTTCTGAATTATTTTTTAATTGATAAATTTGACATTTTGTAAATTTAAGTTACAGAGTGTTTCAGTTTGATATATTTACATGTGATAATGTGATTGCCATTGAAGGGATATTTAAAGTATATCATTGTATTGCAATGGTATTGTCTATTATACCACCCATTGGATTTCTATGGCTTGTTTACCACTCATTACAAGTTTGTATACTTAAACACCATCATTCTGATCTTTGCTCCAACCCCCATCCCCAGAATTCTGTTACTTAATGCTATCATCTGACCTAAAGCAGGCTGTTTCATATAAAAGACAAAGAAACAACATATAAAAGACAAAGAAACAACAACCACAACAAAAAACAAAACAGAAAACAAAGCATGTTTATGGATAGATGTGTAAATTCCTATTATCTGTATGCTTATTTTGTAGGGTCTGCACCAGAACTGACACAAAGCTAGTTTCAACAATGAAATGAATACAAAAGGCATGCTGATCAGTAGCTGATAGCAATTAAATGTGTACATATCATTTCTCTTGCATAGTTTATGGATTTTCCCTTTGCATCAATCATTCTTGGTTGGTTTGGGATTTTGGATAGTATGTTTTGGTGGTTGAGACTTAAAAAAAAAAAAAAACATAGGGAAGACTAAAGGAAGTTAAACAATACTTTATATTTAAAGATTTATTTATTTATGCATACATGAGCTGGGGTACAGGCCAGGAGTGTGGGGGTGAGAGGATTCACCAGAGGCAGAGTGGGGAACAGAACAGGCAGATCCACTGAAGTACACTGCTGAGGGGAGCAGTGGAAAATCAGGAGAGGTCTGCTGTACCATGTGGGTTTCTCCCTGGCCAGCTGGGAATAGAACTCGCACTGCAGAGGCTGCGGACAGCTTCATAGTTTGAGTCTTAACCCCTTGCGCTACCAGGGAGGCCCAATAATTAATTCTTGGCAGTAGAAACAAGATATAATCTATTAATTTGTAGTTGTGCATTGCACCATTGTCCACTCTTTGTTCATAATACAAAAAACAATCATCTTGTATCTGTTAATATTATTGCATAACAAACTAGCCCTAAAGTTTAAATAGCCATTGTTTCTTTTGTAGCTTGTAGGTAATTGCTCTGGTCTGGGCTATCATGGTTGATCTCTATGTTCAGTTGATGACCAGAGTGGGAATGAGGATTGTGGAATGATTTTATTTTCCTTTTGATAGTTAGTCTATTTGGAGAAACTAACTATAGATATGGCTTGTTTCTGCTCCATGTGGTTTCATTAAACAATCTGGACTCTTTCACACAGTGCGGAAATGACTCCTAACAGTAAAAGAAACTGAGTCACACTGTAAAAGTGATTTTCAAGCCTTTTACATAACACTTACTAATGTCCAGTTAAAGTGGCCCAATGACCAAATGTAGATGCAAAAGATGGAGTGATAGAGCACAAATCATGATAGCAAAATCAAATTGCAAATATACATACAGAGAGGGATAAAAGAAGTTGTGACTTTTGGGTAATCTCTATATATTTGTGTGTGTGTGTATATACATATATACATAAACATATATATACACACACATAAAATTGAGAAAACTCATGTAAT